CTTGAGCCCAGGAGTTGGAGGTTGCTGTGAGCTGTAATGCCACGGCACTCTGCCCAGGGGGACAGCTTGAGGCTCTGTCTCAAAAAAAAAAAAAAAGTAGATTATAGTGGGCAGTGCCTGTGGCTCAAGGAGTAGGGCGCTAGCCCCATATACCAGGGTGGCAGGTTCAAGCCCAGCCCTGGCCAAAAAAAAAAAGTAGATTATAGCTCATCTACCCATGGTGCCCACATGGTAACAGCCACAGTAGCCACCATGTTAATAGTTCACCTGGTACAAAGGAAAGACTTGCTTACTTGTACTAGTCAGGGTGTAGGGGGGGGCAAAACTGATCAGCAGTCCAAGCAACAATTGTTGGAAAGTCCTCTGATGATTATAAAGCAGATGCTAAAATAAACCTAAAACTGATGTTTCTCTCTCTTTTTTTTTTTTTTTTTTTTTTTTCAAATAATTGTTGGAGGCCTAGTCTGGCCCCATGTAAATACTTCTGTCCCAATTCTCTCTTGGAACACAAAGGGCCTAATTAGCCCTGCCCCAAAGAGTCAAGGTTCTTTGGGGGAAGGACACTAGCCCACCAGAATCCTCCAACAGCAGTGGAATCTATATATACCCTACTGCCTTATATAAAAAGAGGCCTTCAACTGCCCTCTGGACACCATTTTTGCCCTGCTCAGGCAAGTCTCTGAACCCTTTCAATAAACCTGGCCTGAACCTCTCCATTCCTGGTCGCCTCTCTGGGCACTGCCACACCACCTTTCAATAATCACCAAGGTTTACCAGCTAATAATTTAAAGACAGCTCAGCATTCTCTGCTGGGCTTGCACAGGGGGACATGGCCTATGTGTTTCTAGGCAGTCTTACCTGCATCAAACCAACCTTGGCTCCTCCAACTCCAGGCTTGACTGGGGGCATCGGGGGTGCAGAGGTTGGCTTGACCACCTAGAAAGAAACCAATATAGCTGACAGGATGCCCCTAAACAGCCCAGGCCCTTGCCCAGGCACCCTTGTCCCCAAGTCCCTCTGCTCAGCTCCAGATAAGCCTGCTCTACTTTTGCTAAGCTCTCCATGAAAACCCTCCACTGCTGCCCTGCTGGACTGCAGCCAGGTAGGTGGAGCCCCAGGGCTGGGCCTCACCTTCCAGCCCCCAACCCCCACATTATACTTTATTTTTTGTATGTCTATACTTTTATATTGGGGGAATGGGTAAAAAAGAAAGCAGCCTCTATTCTGGGCCCTATTCAGTGGCAGCTTCTTGTTCTATAGTGTTATGGAAGACTTTGAGGAACTAAAAGTTGTTTGGAAAAATCCAGGTGTAGTTGCTTTGTACATTGTGATGGGTAGAAGGAAAGAAGTGAAGTGGGAAGGCCCCTCACACCCTCCATCTTGCCTCAGACTATGTCTTGGAACCCTGGAGTGGAGAAAGTGCCACTTTCATTCCTGCTTCTTGGGATTGTGGATGGCCATGCAGTGATAGAGAAGAACAAGCAAAAAGAGTGACCTGCCCAGCAGGTTGGCGAAGGTGGTGAGCTGCATGCCTGTGATCATCCTGATCAGCTCTGCTGGGCTCCCCACATTACACTTTAAAAGCTCTTTTTGTTTTTGAGACAGAGTCTTATTATGTTGCCCTCGGTAGAGTACCATGGCGTCACAGCTCACAGCAACCTCCAACTCTAGGGCTCAAGTGATTCTCTTGCCTCAGCCTCCCAAGTAGCTGGGACTACAGGGGCCTGCCACAATGCCTGGCTATTTTTTTGTTGCAGTTGTTTAGCGGTCCCAGGCTGGGTTCAAACTTGCCACCCTCCGTAACCACTGTGCTACGGGTGCAGAGCCTAAAAGCTCTTCAGTTACCAAAATGTAGTCGGTCTTTGGAAGCTAAGAATTACTACTAAACTATGAATTTTTTGGCCAGGTGGTGGCTCACACCTGTAATCCTAGTACTCTGGGAGGCCAAGGTGGATGGATTGTCTGAGCTTACAGGTTCAAAACTAGCCTGTGCAAGAGCCAGACCCCATCTCTAAAAAAAGAGCTGGGCATTATGGTCAGTGCTTGTAGTCCCAGTTACTTGGGAGGCTTAGGCAAGAGAATTGCTTGAACCCAAGAGTTTGAGTTTGCTATGAGCTATGATGCCATGGCACTCTACCAAGAGTGACAGAGTGAGACTCTGTCTCAAAAATAAAATATGGGCTCGGCGCCTATAGCTCAACCGGCTAAGGCGCCAGCCACGTACACCTAAGGTGGCGGGTTCGAATCC